CAATGTTTGCTACCTCGACGACTGTGTCATTTTTGGCAAAACATTTGATAGCTATTTACATGCACTAAAACTTACATTAGAGAGATTTTCATACTACAACCTCAAATTAAAACCATCTAAATGCAAATTCGGATATCAAGAAATTAAAGTTTTAGGCAACGTAATAAATTCACAAGGTATAAAACCAACCGAACAAGGCCTAGAGTCAATAAAAAAATTTCCATCGCCTTTTAACATCAGGCAACTCCGTAGCTTTCTCGGGCTAGCTAACTATTTTCGAAAATTCATCCCAAACTTTAGTAAAATTGCAAAGCCTTTAACAGATTTAACAAAAGGGGTATTTAAAAGTAAGCGCGATAAAATTAATTGGACAAACGAGCACGAAAAAGCTTTTCAAGAACTAAAAAATAAATTAACTAGTGAGCCTCTTCTAGCACATTATAACGAAAACTATCAATCGATAATCGTAACGGACGCGAGTCGCGAGGGCCTTGGAATAATTTTGCAGCAAAAAGACGATAGTGGCATAATTCGACCAGTTTCATACGCTTCCAAAAAATTAACTTCTGCTGAATCTAATTACTCAGCAATGGAACTCGAAGTTTTAGCCATACATTTTGCATTCACCCAATATCGCCAATATCTACACGGTAGACAAATAACAGTTTGGACCGACCATAAAAATTTAACGAACTTCATGAATATAAAAACGGAATCCAACGTAGTTAACCGAATAAGAAATAAATTAATGGGATATGACTTTAAAATAATTTATAAAAAAGGTATTTTTAATAAGGCTACCGACCATTTATCGCGTTACCCTTATTCAGAAACCGGAAACGGCAAAATCGAACTATTTCCGTTAGATTCAATAAAACGCGAAGACGTTAAAATTAACTTAGTCCAATCAATATATATTCAAGTAGATCAGGCAAATAATGAATATTTACAAAATATTATAACGGCAATTAGAAACCCCGACGCGAGCAATAATAAATGGATTAACAAGGCAAAATACTATTTTATTGATAAAAATGGCGCTTTATATTATACTATTAAATATCACAACATGACAAAAAAAGTATTAGCCTTACCTTCTAAGTACATTGAAAACATAATTACCGATAGTCATGATAGCCCTCTGAGCGCACATGTAGGTTTCACTAAGACTCTGGACAAAATTAAAAATAGATATTTCTGGCCAAAAATGCGCAAAAATATAAAAAAATATGTGTTAAGTTGCGAAAGTTGTCAAAAGCGAAAATCGTATAAACAACCAAAACCACCTAAAGCAGGTAGATATCCATTAGATAATTGCGGAATAATGGAAGAAATTTTTTTAGATTACATTGGTCCACTTGAAAATTCGAAATCATACAAATATATACTTGTTGCAACCGATCGGCTATCTAAATTTTGCGTAGCTAGACCTTACACAAGTGCCAACGCACAGAGTACAAACAAATTTCTGTTAGACTTCATTTTAAGATTTGGACCACCCAAAATTATTAGGTCAGATAATGCTAAACATTTTACTGCTAATTCGATTTTAGAACTTTTAGATTCTCTACATATAGATAAAAAAATTGGAATTCCTTATAAGCCCACTTCGCAAGGGCAAGTCGAACGGCAAAACCAAAGTCTCATTGATATGATTGCCCACTATGTCCAAGATAACAACAAATGGGCCGACTATCTGCCTTACATAGTCTTTGCATATAACACTTCAGTACACGAGGTTACTAAGTATACTCCCCACTACTTAGTTCACGGTTATCATCCTAAAAGTATATATGACCTAGCTCTTATACCCCCAGACGACGCAAATGTGTTATCTGAACTTGATAATTTAAACCATGTCCGAAAAACTTTGCCAAAAATAATTGAACAAGCATCAAACAACTCCATTTCAAAATTAAACTTTCCGAAACACGNCAACAAAAATAAAACAAAGTACTAGTTAAGGTCCCCATTCGAACTAATAAATTCGACAATCGCTATGAAGGGCCCTACGAGATTGTCAAACAAACGGGTCCCTATACATATTTAATAAAAATGTATAAAAATAATATACTCAAAGACTCGCCGGTTCACGTTGACCAAATGAAACCCTACGTTTCTAGAAACTAATTTTAAATTAATTTTGACTTTTCTTTTCTCATTCTCCTCATTTTTATTGTGTTCATAATTTTCTACCACACCATGCGAATAGTGTGCTATTCCACACATATAAATATATGTGTGTATATACTAGGGACATGTGTATTATACGCTTGAATATGCGACCTCATCATAACAAAAGTGTGTGAAATTCAGTTAATAGCGCGTGACAATCGGACAGTTATTCTACGGCTACCGACTTGAACATTATCTTCGCGAAACAAATAGTGCGTTACTTAACTATTGTACAGAACTTCAATTTTTTATTTATTTATTTTTTTTTTCATTTTGGACTTTACATCAANTTTTTATTTATTTATTTTTTCTTTCATTTTGGACTTTACATCAATTACTTATAAAATTTTTTCGCAATAAATAACGATTTTTACAATTACTTATAACATTCTGTTTTCAAACAATTTTATTTTCAACTCTCACAATTATTTTTCAAAATTAACAACAAAATTCAACAACGCACCATTTTGTGGAGTAATACAGAATAAATCAACTCAGGTATTTGTTTTTTTGAACATAATTTTTTAGAGTCAATATGGCGTCGTATTTTTATATTGCTATTTTATTTTTACTTAACGCTCTCACTTTTTATTCGTGTGGCGATTGTGCGCAATTTACCATTGACCCGATAAATGATGTAGGCCTGTATTTTGAAAATTTAGACAATATACTATTTTCAAAAGATTCGTACAACCTAATTATCTATGTAGATATCTTCGGTTATGAGACAAAATATATCGAAATTCACCAAATCCGGCTTCAAACACTTAGATTATGTAATAATCAAAATAGGACTTTAAATACGTCAATCACGTGTCAAAATTACGATAACATTCTCAAATATAACTTACTCGAAATGGACAGGCACTATAAAAATTTAATTCATTTAAAAGATAGGAAACAAAAGCGCGCGCTTATTAATCTAATAGGTAAATTTAACCGCTTTGCATTTGGAAACCTCGATGAGGACGACCTCGAAGAGATAAAAAGCAAAATTAATAATAATACAATGCGCGTAGCTGAATCCTTAAGATTACAAAAAAAACAAGCTATTATTTTACAATCAGGTCTAAATTCCGTTAGAAATATAACCGAAATTATGCAAAATAATACATTTAGATTAAAACACTCAATAGACGATATTATAGACGCGCAACAAAACATATCGTTTAGAATTTCAGATTTAGAGTTAGAACAATCGCTTTATGAACATTTTTCTATATTTAATTTAATAATCGCTGAATTTAATCTTGAAACTAACGACCTTGTTTCGGCAATATCCGCAGCACGACAAGGTCTGCTTCACCCAAATGTTTTAGACACTAGTATCCTAATAAAAAATCTCGAAAAAATTGAAATTGAATTACCGTTGAATAGGCAATTACCAATCGAAACAAAATTTATTACAAATATATTAAATTTCATCGCACAAGTCAAACTAACTGTGGCCTTTATCGATACCAACCTAATATATACACTAGAAATTCCAATATGTGACAGGTCTCGCAATACCCTGTACCATATAACTCCGCTTCCTATAATTATCGCCGATAAACAATTCGCATATATTGAGCCCGAACACCGCTACCTGGTAATTTCAATGGACAATACTTCTATAATTCCGTTCACCGAACAAGATATCAGCGCATGTCACACTAACAAAGTTCAAACAATATGCTTATTTCCCGATACAATTAAAAGACGAAAATTAAACAATTGCGAAACTCAAATTTTTACGAATACTTCAAAAATTCCTGACAGCTGCAACATTAAACATTTCCATTTCGAATCGCAAGTTTACAATAAACTTATGACAAAAAACGTCTGGATCTATTTATCAACCGAGCAAATAGATATTTCGATAATATGTGGACTTAACACATATACCGCGGATATTAACGCCACCGGAATCTTGAAAATCGACGTAGGTTGTCAAATCCATACTCCATCGGACATTTTGCAGTCATGGTCTTTCAAAACAAAATCTTATCGTGTAGATTTTGTCCCACAACTTAACATTTCATTACACTCATCGATTATTAATAAAATTAACAAAATAAAACATTCTTCGATTATTAAGAAACCCGCGATTCAACCGATTCGGCATGATTTAAATGAGCTTGACAAATTTTCAAAACCACTCGACGACGTGATTGACGATATAGATATTCTTTTTCATTAAAGAAATATATAACGACAGGCAGTCGACATTTTACCACGCTCGTGGCAACTCATTATTTATTGCAGATTATATTTTTATTACTACCGCTTAATTCCGACAATATTATTTTCTACTATTAATTTAACTATTATTATTTATTTATTACAATCGGATTTGTGTACGTTCGCCGCTGTCGCTCACCTAACTTGGATACCACAACATCTCTAGAGATCCAGTCAGGTTATATTTAAATATACTATTAAATAGAAATAAATGTTTGTTATCGTTGTTAGTTAAGAGTCTATATTTATTGGTCACGAAACCGCTAACCGCCCTTCTAGTGGGATATAAATTATATAGGGCCAGCGTTGCCCCGTTAAGGTACAGCTTAGCCAANTAGCGTTGCGCCGTTAAGGTACAGCTTAGCCAACTGTTAGGATCCTAGCGGGAAAGCACGTTGCAGTACCTATAAAAAGTGTTTCGGCTTTATTTTTGTTATCATTTGATAAGATTTAAAATATGACAAAATTTGTTTGATTTTTCATAATCGGGAAAACTTAGTCAAAAAATCACCAATAAAAGTAAGTAAAACGTTTAACTATGAATGTTTGTAAAGTTCCATCTGGATCAACTTGGATGTACTGTAAGAAAGTTCAAAGATAACAGACCTGGTCCAGACTGGGCAAAATCTTTTTTAAAAAGGCACAAAACTAGTTTGACTTTAAGAATGTGTCAAAACATCAAGCGAAATAGAGCTGATATTAACAGCTTTTTTGACAATTTTAGCAAAACTGTAGAAGGCGTTCCTCCAAGCAATATCATAAATTATGATGAAACAAATTTAAGTGATGACCCTGGAAGAAAAAAGATTATTTGTAAACGAGGTACTAAGTACCCAGAAAGGATAATGAACCAAACTAAATGTTCAACAACGGTGATGTTTGCTGCTGCTGCAGATGGAAAACTTCTACCCCCCTATGTAATCTATAAATCACTACAATTGTATGACACATGGACTGAAGGTGGCCCTATAGGCACAAGATATAACAGAACACCATTTTTTTGATTGATGGATGTTGCTTCACTGAGTGGTTTAGCAAAATAGTAATTCCATTTTGCAGAAGATTACAGGGTAAAAAAATTATCATAGGCGATAATTTAAGTTCTCATTTATCACCTCAGGTGTTAAAATTATGTGAACAATATTCAATTGATTTTGTTTTTTTGCCACCCAACTCCACACACCTAACCCAACCATTAGATGTTGCTTTTTTCCGGCCGCTGAAAGGAGCCTGGAGAAAAGTCCTTGATAATTGGAAAACATCAACTGCCAGAGGAAAAAAAGCTTCAACTATAAATAAAGACTGTTTTCCATCATTACTTAAAGAAACTATTGAAAAAATTTCAGATAAAAATGGCGATAATATTAGAGCCGGGTTTGAAAAAACCGGATTATTTCCTTTAAACAAAAATAAGGTGTTGGATATGTTACCACAAGAAAACAATGGGTCTGCAGAAAATTTAGTATCAGAAAATTTAATGCAATTTTTGAAAGAAAAAAGATATGGATCTGATGAGCCTGAAAAAAACATAAGAAAAAAACGTTTAAAAGTTCCTCCTGGAAAAAGTATAAGAGGAAAAGATTTGAATCAGTTTGAAGAGTCAGAAAATGAAGATGAACCAGCAAGATTAAACGAATCATTTCAGCAAGAAGTCCATTCAAGCTCCAGCATTAAAGAAGGAACTTGGGTTATTGTAAATTTCGGAAAAAAAATTCCAAAATTGTATTTTGCAAAGGTTACTAAAATTATTAAAGAAGGATTACTTTATGAAGGTTCATTTACCCGACCAAGCAACAATGTTACTGGTGAACATACTGGTAACATTCAAGTCTTCCCAGACATTATTGANTTTTACTGGTATTGATTTTTGCAATTTTAAGCTAGAAGAAGTTTTAAGAGTTATACCAGGACCAGATATTTTAAGAAGAGGAAGACTGAAATTCTCTCAAGATATTAATGAAATTAAAAAGACTTCATTAAAAAACCAAATACCTTTAAGTTAAGTGTTGAATAACTGTGATCAATTTGTTTATATTTATAACGAGAAAGTTTATATTTTATTTCATTTTGTTGCATTCATCATTTTGATGGAATTCTATTTAATATTTATTATTTGTCTTGTATTGTTTACAAAAAAATTTAAATAAAACAGTACCTAATTGACTTTTGTAATTTTAAAAATTACAAAAAAAAAAAAAAATCATTTAAGTTAAGTGTTGAATAAGTGTGATCAATTTGTTTATATTTATAACGAGAAAGTTTATATTTTATTTTATTTTGTTGCACTCATCATTTTGATGGAATTCTATTTAATATTATTTTGTTTTGTATTGTTTACAAAAAAAATAAAACTAAAACAGTCTTTATAAAAAAAATTTGTTTTATTTTTGTGTTGATTCCATTAATAAGTGATAAGATTTCTTGCGCAGTTCACTAATTGTCCCAAAATGTTAGGGTAAATATTCAAATTTAAATGCTTTATCAATTTATGTTAATTTCCAGCTAACCCTATTTGTTGTTATTAGGTTATACTAGGGTTTACTATGGAATTTTAATACGTGACCCTATTATCCCCTAACCAGTTTAAATAGGGCCACAGTTTTAAAAATATATACAAAATAACGAAGTGGAAGTGTAAACGATTTTATAGTTGGATTCTGTTTGTAATCGAGTTAACTTAAAAAAAAAAAAAAATTGATTTATGTCAAAAACTGTAGGAGTTTATGTCCAAAAACCTTTAAAAATGACTCTATTAACCCCATTTTACGGTAATGACAAACAATTTATCATATACATAATAATTATAAAAGCAATAGTTGCCGATAAAACGATAAACAGAAAAACACAAACACTTAAAATTAACTATTTACAATAACAGATGACAAACACACGAGAAGGGAAGGGAAAATTTTACAATGAGAGGCGCGAGAGAATATTACGATAACAAAGATTATTTACATATACATTTTGTACACTAATGCATGAACAATATGCACTGGACATTGCAGATGTGTTGAAAAAATCAATTCAAAGAAATATTGCGTTAAAGTGTTCATTAGATTTCGTGACAGTTTATGAAATATAGTTAATGTTAATAATAGTGTTAATGTAGAAGTATCCATAACTACACAAAATCTTTTTATTACTCCTTTCGCTTTAACACCATCGAGTAATATTCCCGAGTTGATTACTAATATTAAACATCTACTGCAAAAAAAAGTCCCAAGAGGATGAAACGCGTGGGAGTGGATAGGTGTTCAGAGGTATAGTTTTTTAGATATTAATAGTTTTAAGTATGATCCTATGAGGGGAGGATGTAATTCGCAACCCAACACAAGTTTTTGAGTGATGGTTGCCTGTTATTTTTTTACTCAGAGTTAAAATTTAAGACTCACCAGCTCGAAAATTGTATGCGTGTTTAAATTGTTGTACCAAATTCCCCCAAATCATCATCAAATTTCAGTATTATAATAAGCAATTCCCCGTCGAATTTGTTATTTACGCAGATTTTGAGTAGATGTCAACACCTACAGCTACATGCGATCCAAATCCAGCGCAATCTTTTTCAAATAAAATTAATATTCATGAACCTCATAGTTTTTCTTATTTTATTAAATGTTCATATGATGAAAATTTGGATCGCATGGAGCTATATCGCGGGGAAAATTGTGTGGAGGTGTTCATCGAGAAACTTAGAAACCATATAAACTGTATAAGCGACATTTACTCAAATCCCATATCAATGATACCATTAACTTTAAAACAATAACATGATCATTACTTAACAACTGTATGTCACATTTGTGAAGGTCAATTACGATATCATGATAAAGTTTTCGAGCATTGTCACTAAACGGAGAAATATCGTGACGCTGCGCATAGAGATTGTAACCTAAATTATACGGTTCTGTCATTTATTCCCATAATTCTGCATAATATGCAGAATTATGATTCTCACTTTATTATTACAGAACTTGGTTTTGGGGATGATGATAAGGGTATTAAAGTAGTTTTCAAAAACGAATGAAAAATATATGTCCATTAAAAAAACAATTAAGATATCTAATAATAAGCGGCTGACATTGAAATTTATAGATTCTTTAAACTTTTTACTATCTTCTCTTGAAAATTTAGCCAAAACTTTGACACCTCATCAATTTATCATAACAAGGAGAATGTACACAAATGATGATGAAATCTTGATGATGTGTCATAAGGGAGTATTCTCTTACGAGTAAGTAACTGATATGAACAATCTGAACGAAAGTACATTACCTCCCAAAAACTCGTTCCTTAGTATAGTAAATATGAGTGACATAACAGATAAAGATTACGCCTATGCAAAAAAAGTATGGGAAAAATTTAATTGTATAACATTGGGAGATTATTCAGATTTATGTTTAAAAACCGATATATTTCTTTTAGCTAATATCTTTTAAAATTTCAGAAAAATGTGTTTAGTAAATTATGGGCTTGATCCTTGATATTATATTATTACCCCGGGATTGAGCTTCAATGCTATGAAACGAATTACCGGGGTAAAGTTTGAATTAATGACTGACATCGAGATGATTAGTTTCATTAATAACGGAATTCATGGGAGTATCTCTCACTGCGTATCTCATTATCGTCGAAACCGTCAAAATATTTATTATATCTCGATGCCAACAATCTTTATAGCGCAGCGCTTAGTCAACCCCTTCCACTTGGTAATTTCACATGATTAAAATAATCAGAAATCGACGCGTTACATGTTATGGAAATTGAAGATAATAGTAATTGGGGGGTTATTTTAAACGTCGATTTAGAATGTGGTAAAGATTTACACCGAGCTCCATTCAGACTCGCCATTATACCCCGAAAATATAAAACCGCCGAATTCAAAATTAAAAAAATTAATTCCAAATTTAAATGATAAAAAAAATTATATTTTTCATTATCGGACTCTAAAACAGGCTATTAGTTTAGGACTAAAGGTAAAAAAAATAAATAAAGTATTAAAATTCGATCAGTCGGCTTGGATGAAGGCATATACAGATTTGAATACGAGAAAACGTATGGCATCCAAGTCAGCTTTCGAAATTGAATGTTTTAAACTCATGATTAACAGGATTTATGGCAAATGTCTGGATAATCCTGAAAAAAGAATTGACGTTAAAATTGTAAATAAATGAAAAAATATAGTGAAAAGATACGGGGGAAGTGTTTTAATATCAAAACCAAATTTCGATAGTGTAGCTATTTTTAATGATAATATGGCAGCTATCCACTTAAAAAAATTTGAAATTGTATATGATAGACCAAATTACGTTGGGTTTTCAGTATTGGATATTTCTATACGATATTTATATACGATTTTCACTACAACTTTATGACAAAGATGTATGGAAATAAGTACAAGTTATTATACACAGATAACGACTCTTTATCTTACGAAATACAAACTGTAAATGTTTATGATGTTAAAAAAACATAGAAAAATTCGACTCATCTAACTATGATCCTAACAACGTGGTGGAAAAATTAAAAAAAAATATATTGGTATATGCAGTAAAACGTATATGATGCGTTGTGATAAAACTGTCAAAAAAAAAAAAATAAGGGATTAAAAAAAAAAAGAGTACTAAAAAAGACAATAGCTGAAAGTAACTATATAAGTTGTATAATCTTTCATGATCTAAAAATTTTACGAAGTATGTATGTTTTCCAATCATACAAACATACTATATACGCTGAAAAAATAAATAAGATAGTGTTGGAATTTAAAGATGACAAGCAGTATCAAATACCCAATACCCATAATATGTTAGCTCTGGACCATAAAGATATCCCTCCTCCAACCCAACCTCTACATTATTTGTAAATATTTAATTTTACATTTCATTATGTAAATAATTAATTTTACGTTTTTCTATGTACATTTGTAAATAACTAATTTATTTATATCTGAGAAAATGTATAAATATAATATTACTTTTAAATTTGTTGTTAAAGATAAATGTACAGTTAAATTACTATAATTTTAAAAATGTACTATTTGTATGGAAATAAATAATATTTATTTATAATATTATTATTATTATAAAGTATTTAAAAACAATATGATTAATAATATCATAGTTTTCTAACTAATCAACTTATTCACTAGTATTTAACTTATGATAAAAATGTTTTTCCATAATGTTTCCATTTTGCAAAATAACCTCCTCCTCTATGTATACTTGAAAATAAATGATCTTTACGAAATAATTGATTCTAAAAATTAATATCTAGGGCTCGGATGTTGTTGCATTTGCAATTTTTTTTCTATTTCTTGGATTTATTGCTAAGTAGGTTTTACATTCATATCATACGAGTACGAATTTATATCTAAAAGTTTTTAGTGCAACTTTTGACAATTTTTTCAATTTTAATCATTTTTTTTCTATTTAATAGCAATTTTGTTGATTTTTCTCATTTATTGTACATTTTATATACTTATAAATTGTGAATAATATAATATAATTTTTTTTTAAAGGTAAGAGATATATTAAAATATTCAAGTGCGCGTATTGATTGTTATTTCGGGATTTCCGTAGACCACCGTGGTCGACTGGAAATGCGATTAGACAATATTGGGGTTAATATGACGAGCGACGGTACATCGAGATTTGTAGATTGTACTACTGTAGTTTTAAGTTTATTATAGAATTTTAGTTAAGTCTTCACTTCTTCAGTGTTCAGTCGTCTCGTGTTTCTCCGTAGTTTACGTTTAAGTCTTATTATTTCGTATTGACGTCAAACATGCCGAAAAATAAGTAATCAGTGTCTGGTGTTCGGGAAAAACGTATTTTCGAGTGATGGGTCAGCTCTTTTTTGTAAGTTACGTGAAATTCGAGTATCTGCAGATCGAAGATACATAGTTACATAACATTTAAAAAGTGATAAACACAGCCGCGCCATAAATCGCCATCAAAACGCTACAACCTCTGTAGTACAGCAACAACTTGCATTATCTTTAAAAAATCTACATTTTCCAAAGATCTTTGTCAAACATTATTATCTGCAAATATTCCTCTAAACAAAGTTAACAACAAGGATTTCCGCTTGTTTTTGGAAAAATATACAAAAAAAGAAATTCCTGAGGAAAGTACTTTACAAAAAAGTTACGTAAATGATATTTACGTAGAAATTATGAACAAAAATAGATCTAATATTGCCGGAAAAATTTGGGTTTCGGTGGATGAAACTACCGATGTTCAAGTTAGATATATTGCTAATATTATTATTGGAACATTAGAAGTAGACAAACCGGGGCAATTTTAGTTTACCTACTAAATTCGGAGGTGCTCGACAAAACAAATCATTCGACCATCACTAAAGTCTTTGACCGATTGATGTTTCTTCTTTGGCCTCATGGTATACGCCATGATGACATATTGCTCTTCGTCAGTGATGCGGCGCCGTACATGATCAAGGCAGGAAAATTAATTGGAGTGCTCTATTCTAAGATGGTGCATATAACGTGCGTAGCACATGGTGTACATAGAGTTGCTGAGGAAATAAGAGGACGATTTTCAAATGTTGACAAATTGATCGCCAAGGTAAAACAAATATTTTTAAAATGTCCAGCTCGTGTATTATTTTTCAAAAATAAAGCTCCGACAATACCATTACCTCCCCAGCCTATTATAACTCGTTGAGGTACATGGGTAAAATCAGTCTCCCATTACTGTGAATATTTTAAAGAAATAAAAAATATCATATTACAGCTCAATCCAGATGATGCAATTTCAATAAAAGAAACTCAAAAAATATTAGATGATCCATCGTTGGAAACAGATTTAGTTTTTATTCACGCAAACTATGTATATTTACCTGACACCATAGATAAATTAGAAACTCGAGGACTTTTTTTGGCGATAAGCATTGAAATTGTTAAAAACGTTTGTGACAAATTAAGTTCAGTGTCAGGAATAACAGGCAAGTTAATTAATGAGAAATTGAAAAACGTTCTTGACAAAAATAAGGGATTTAGTTTTACAAGAAGTATCAAACATATTATCTTGCGAAAAAATTGGGACAAATCAATTGTCAGAAGATTTATCCATTCAAGATTCGATATATTTTAAATATACACCCATAACCTCTGTCGACGTGGAGTGTAGTTTTTCAATATATAAGAACTTATTGTCTTCAAATAGGAGATCCTTCGAATTTGAACAGCTGNTGTAGTTTTTCAATATATAAGAACTTATTGTCTTCAAATAGGAGATCCTTCGAATTTGAACACCTGAAGAAATCCTTTATAGTGCAGTGCAATCATTTTTAAGGTACTCAAATTTTTGTTAAATAATAAAATTAATTGTTTTTTAATTTTATAAAATTTCTTGCAGGTTCCTGAAATACCGAACAAAAACTGTTTGATTTATAAGTTTGTTACATTTTTTTTAACTGTATCTATTGTTATTTAAATAAATAAGGCTATTTCATACTACAAAATTTGTAATTCTTAAAAGTAAAATTTTATAGCTAAAAACTGTTAATCAAAAAAAATTTTAAGCGCAATTTTGGATATTTTTTCTGCAATAATGCAATCAATTTTCAACGTTTTTTAGTGCAATAACTTCCGAGCCCTATTAATAACATTATTTTTAACATAATAAATTATATCTACAATTACAAAATTATGTACAAGTATACTCAATACTTATGATTAAATAACTTGTTATAATCCTGTCAAGCCAGTGGCGTAGTCAAGGGGGAGGCTATAGCCCCCCCCCCCATTGGCCGTATGTTTCATATTGTTTTGAAATATTTAAAATTAATTATGGAAATTGTTTTAGAAATGTAATGTTTTTAAAATAGTAAATGGGTCAATATACGCTATTTGAATTTCAGCGACCCATAGACAAATTTTATGTTAAAACTAACTATATTATTGTTACTTTATGCCTAAGTAATATGGAGTACCTTCTTTTATTTGGTTAATGCAGTCAACTTACGTAACTGCTTCATTCTAGGCCTCAGTAATTAAAAATAGTACTAAATGTATACTCCTCTGGCCTGCTCCATAACTGTTTTTTATGGTNTACTCCCCTGGCCTGCTCCATAACTGTTTTTTATGGTATGATATTCAATACTCAGTAGTAGGGTAATATTGGGGATTCTAGCCCCCCCGCCTCACCCTTCACCAACCCACCCACCGAGGGGTAGGCGTGGTCTGGGGGAGGGGCATGTCACACAGTGGGCGTGGTTTCTCGATGGTGGGGGTAATGTCAAGGTCACACAGTGGGCGTGGTCTTATCATAGATAGTGTAAGGGGAGGCGTGGTCTTATCATTGATTGGGTAAGGAGAGGCGTGGTCTTATCATTGACGGGGTAAGGAGAAGGCGTGGTCTTATCATTGATGGGGTAAGGGGAGGCGTGGTCTTATCATAGATGGGATAAGGGGAGGTTTGGTCCTATGATGGTGGGGGTAAGGAGGAGGCGTGATACCACGATGGTGGAGGTAATAGATGACTTAGGTAGGGATGTTAAGATCAATCAAAATGGCGGTTAATAGTGCGCATGCGCATTATAACTTAATGTCTGTGGTGAGGGGAGGTAGCCATATGGTTGTCTCCTTCTACGGTGTCATCTACTAGAAGATAATGTAAACCTCATGTGAACTGATAACAGAACTGATTATGTTCATTGATAAGCGTACACATTACATTGTAATAATGTAATTCAATTGCTTAATATTAACGCCGCAGGGGTGTCTGTCAACAATTCCTACATAGGAAGGGGTAATGAATCTTGAATTAAACTAACCTGTAATGGGTGGGGATGAATCCAACTTAAACTAAAACGTTTTCTAAGAATTTTTATCATTGCCTACCAGACGCATAGGTAAGCATATTTCCAACATCAAAGGCACCGCTATATTATAACTCACATTACCGTCTACATTTTATAAGAACAAAGACAACCTCTCTCGTTTTGGCATAATAAATTCTAAGAAATTTATCATGGGTAACCAGACGCTTAGCTAAGCATATTTTCAACATCAAAGATTTCGCTGTACAGTAATAATCACTGTTGTATGCATTTATTTTTTACATAGTATTTTATTGTTGGTAACCAGACGCTTACGTCAGCATATTTCAAACGTCAAATGTATTACTATATTATAACTCACATTATCGTCTACATTTTATGAGAACAATGACAACGTCTGTCGTTTTGGCATAATAAATTCTAAGAAATTTATCATTGGTTACCAGACGCTTAGCTAAGCATATTTCTAACATCAAAGGTACCGCCATATTATAACGTTCATAGGCGTCTGCATTTTTATTTTTTACATAGTATTTTATCATTGCCTACCACCAGATGCTTAGAAAAACATCTCGTTAATATTAGTATATTACTATTAATTATATAATTAATATAATTACTATAATTGGTAATATATTTTTAGAATTACTATGTTTAGGTTGCTATAATAGTATAATCGCTATTATTATTATTTTCTACTGCGCCTTTAAAATAATAATATGTGTATCGCATTTTATTTTATTATATTTAATTTGACAATTTTTTTATACCTAAAACTAGAGGTATTACATTTAAAGTCGCTCCCCCACCACCAGCAACCACGAGTCATCACTGCGTTTATCATTTAATGTATACATTACATTGAAATAGTGTACGTCAAGTAGCGACCGCCGCCACCACACTTGACTATTCCTTGAACGATTTGTAACAAACTCTATTAAGACAATTGGGTGTGAGGTGCGCACAATGTTTGAAACCCAATGAAAACTAACCTAAGTCAGGGGAGGGGGATTTCCTCAACATGTCGTAATGAGCGACGGGGTAATGAAACTTAACTTGAAACCAACCGCCATATTATAATCCCACATTACCGTCAACATTTTACGAAAAATAATTGCTGTTTCTAAGAATTTTTATCATTGCCTACCAGACGCATAGCTAAGCATGTTTCAAACATAAAAGGTACCGCCATATCATAATCCACATTACCGTCTACATTTTATAAGAACAAAGACAACGTCTGTCGTTATGGCATAATAAATTCTAAGAAATTTATCATGGGTAACCAGACGCTTAGGTAAGCATATTTCAAACATCAAAGAGGTCGCCGCATAAAAATGTCGTATGAATCTTATCATCGGATGCCAGACGCTTAGGTCAGCATATTTCCAAAGATGTTACAATATATTAATGGTCACTGCCGTATGGATTTTATGAGAAAAATGGCAACGTTGTCTTTTTTCACGCCTACGCGTTTTATGAGAACAATGGCAACGTTTGTCGTTATGGAATTTTATTACAGTCTACCAGACGCTTAGGTAAGCATATTTCCGACATTGTTTGTGTTGTACCTGTTTAAACCAACCAAAACTTGTCTAAACAAGATCTTTGACCCCTATAAAAGAACGTCACATCAAATTCAGGATCATTCACTCATTATCTTTTCCAAAGCGATTATACCAAAAACCATTTGCTTGTTTATTTCTATTTGTTGTCCTAAAGAATTTCTAAGACTTTTGATATAAAATAAGTAAGTAATACATTTATATATATTTTTCATTTAAACTATTTTCTACTGACTTTGGTTACTAGTTATGTTTAGAGTTGTTAAATATTTATTAATTTTTTATTTTAGAATGGAGCAATTAAAGAAACAGTTGAACGATCAGAGTACATTAAAAAGATATTCAAAATTAAGTGATTTGGAGGAACACACGCCATACAAAATCATATCTATGAAAAATACAAGCACACGAAATGGGGTTGTCGTTGTTGGTTGTCTATTCAACAATATGAATGTGTTTATCCCGAGATTGAAATTAACTAATGAAGAAATCGAAGCTTACAATATCAACAATGATGATAACAAAATACATTTATTATATAGAGGCAAAAGTGGAAATGCATATTTGTTTGATTTTCAGTAATTTGTTAATATTTTTCCTTGTTTTTTAAACTTATTTATATAAAAAAATAAAAAAAACTTAGTATCATAAACTTGTAAGATTTAAAATTCAATAATATATACTATTTTTTTTATTTTATACAATTTTGTCATATTTATTTAAACTTTATGCCTTTGTGTATAATAAAAGTCTATAGTACTAAGCAGTGCAAAGAAGAGTTTTACACATTAAATAGCAAATTTACTATACGCTATGGTATTTTTAGCAGGTTGTACTATGTATGGCATGTAGTAGGCTGTTTATAAAAGTAGTAGGGACACTGTGTCGGTTTACCGAACAGCATGTCCTGGAATCGTATAATCTCGATACAACAAGTCTGAACATGTTAAAACCTGTCTGAACGCGTTCAAATCCCTGTTCATCCTGTTTGAACCCCGTCTGCTTGTGTTTACAACTGTTTGTATCATATCTAACGACGAAAATTTGACTATTAATTACTATTGGGTTTAAATTAGTTAATAACTTCACCGTGGTGTAAGCATAGCGCTCTAATCGTTATAAGATTTTCTATATAAACAGACGTTACTTTAACTTGTTGGTAATGTGTTAAGTCGATATTTGTATACTTTAAGAATGGCTGGTTCTCTCGCTACAATTGCCAAATTCTATAACAAACAAACATTTGCTAAACCCCAACCTCACAGTGAATTAATCGATTGCACTGATTACGTTTTGAATTTCAATCCTCGTAAATTCGTTCAGATAGGATTGGATCCAAAAGATCGATTTAACGTAACTATTCGTTTACTATCGTCAACCCGTTACATACTTATAACGATAGATTTCCTACAACGGATTTATACGTTGATGGGTAATATTCTGTCGCTAATTTTCGACCCTGTATCAAGACAAAAGATTATTTTACTCAAGGATGAATACGTCACACTCTCAAAGACTACGTTTCAAGGAGAGTCTTCGCTAGTCTTTGAATCACAAGCACAAGATGAATGCCGAGTGTTACTCACCCAATCAGACATTTTAAAACTCAGCGCTTTGGAATGTTGTATCTTTGAGACTATCAATCAAAAGATGACTGTAATTCAACCATTGGTTCTACAACAGTTGGAACAGATGGCTCAATATATGAAATCTCAGTATGAAGTAAATGTGGAAAACAAATGTATGTTGATCAATGCGGTTTCGGATTATACGATTAGAAATAGTTTACCCAATAGCGATCTGAGCTACATAAGCCAAATAAAACAATTTGCGAGCCAGCAGTTGGAACAACGGTGGACGATGCTGGAAAAATATACTAAAGAAATGGTGAATTACATTTTTTTTTTTTCTAACTGAGTAGAACGTAATTAATAAATATAAATAATTTTTTTTCAGTCTTCTAACGGAGAAAACGTATGCTCGACATTTTTTGGGTCGCTGGCCGATGATATACAGTTGGAACCAATCATACCATCAAATACAAATAACCAAGAAATACCAACAGTAGTTGTTAGTAATAGCTATCCGTCGTAAAACGACAAGTATCTAAAACATGTATATAATTTAAAAAAAAAAAAAAAAAAATTGTTTAAAATAAACGTATGTTGCATTGACATGTGCTATTATTATTATATACTGAGACATTGTGAAAATCTCGTTTTCAACGTAACTTGTAATTAAAATTATAATGGGTACAAAGACTATAAATATGTTTAAAGAATAATGTTTAAAATAATGATTATTATCTAGGATTTTATTTCTATCATATGAAAAAAACTATGTTTCTATAAAACTCAAATCATTTTTCTTCTTCAGAAAGGTTAAAACATGGTCAAAAACCTAGCTGTATGATACATGTAAAATACAGTAGGGTATTCTTAGAGTTTTGGTGGATAATACTTTACCATCAAAATGTGACATCTCATTACGTATCTATAGTTTAAATACTATGGCATCTTACACGTACAACTATTGTACCGTACAGAAGAGAAAAAAACGTTGTAGTATATATCTGTAAATATATATATATATATATTTACAAATATGTACACGCATATACATATATTTTTTAGAAAAAATACAATTTCTTACTACATTATGTTACATTAAAAAAATGTTTTAAAACTACTTATATACATGTATATTTACAAAAAAAATTTTCAATTATTGACGATATTTTTTTTTACAATGATAAGAACTTAAAAACTATAGGTCTTCCGGTGGTGGTATAGCATAATGCCCGTGGGCCAACTTGGTTGTACGTAAAGTCCGTACCTCGTGCTCAAACGAACGGATTGACACGTTCTGTCGGTACGGAGTGTAGGGTAGCGATAATGTCGGTGGACACTCACCACCACGTATAACTCCGATGACCGCACGGGCATTCTCTCCAGCCAATGCTCGTTTTGACGCATCGTCACCATCACCATCGTCTTTGAACAAA